CCCACAGTGACCCTGTGGAGCAGCTGGTGAGCTTGAACTGCTGACCTTGTGGTACAAACCAACTTTGCAGTCCAGCGTATTAGCCCACAGCTTCATACTAGGACTCATATAAAACTGTGTAGATCATATCAAACTATGGATAACATTGCAGAGAATGGGAATTCCAGAACACCTAATTGTTGTCACAAGGAACCTGTACATAGACCAAGAGGCAATCATTCGAACAGAACAAGGGGATACTGAATGGTTTAAAATCAGGAAAGGTGTGTGCCAGTGTTGTATCCTGTCATCATACTTATTCAGTCTGTATGCTGAGCAAATAATCTGAGAGGCTGGATTTTGTGAAGAACATGGCATCAAGATTGGAGGAAGCCTCATTAACAACCTGTTATATGCAGATGACATAACTTTGCTTGCTGGAAGTGAAGACAACTTGAAATACTTACTAAGATCAAAGATCTTAGTAGCCCTCAGTATGGACTGTACCTCACTTTAAAGAAAACAAAAATCCTCACAACTTGACCAATAGATAGCACCAGGGTAAATGGAGAAAAGATTGAAGTTGTCAAAGATTACATTTTTCATGGAAGTAGCAATCAAGAAATTTGTTGCACAAGAGTAAATATGTCAGTTTGAGAACTAACTGATACGTGCCTGACCTAAACCACAGGATTTTCACTTGCCTCATAAGCACATGAAAGCTGGATCATGAATAGGAGGATTGTAGAAGATTTGATGCATTTGAATTATGGTGTTGGTAAATAACATTGAAAATACCATGGGCTGCCAGAAGAACAAACAAATGTGTGTCACAAGAAGTATATCCAGAATGCTCTTTAGAAGTCAGGATAGTGAGACTTCGTCTCTTGTGTTGTGAACATGTAGGACTGGACCAGTCCTTGGAGAAAGACATCATGCTTGGTAAAATGGAGGGTCAATGAAGAAGAGGAAGACACCCGACGATATGGATTGACACATTGGTACCAATTGTGAGGGTGGTGCAGGATCGGGCAGTGTTTCGGAATCAACTCAATGGAAATTAACAGCAACACATTGCCTGTATATTTTAGTTCCTTTTAGTTCCTCACTAGTTCTTCAAAGGAACTTACTTGTTTCACTTTAAAACCACTGCAGTCTGGTTCCCACAACCTATATTGAAACTGCATTTTTCTTTTAAAAAAAAAAAGGTTTCAAAGGACCTTGTAGTTGTCAAATCAAGTAGCCATATCTTCCTTGAAGGGCACAGAACTGAAAACTATTGAATATCCTCTAACCATTCTTCTTCCTTCACTTTCATTTCATACTTCTCTTAGTTTTTATCCTACCTGTTCACTTTTTTCCTTGGTAGCTTGTCTTCCTGTGTTTTTTGGCTCACAGTATTCTTTTGGATCCCACCTTCTTCTTGCAAATATTCCCCTGAATAGTGTTCCCTCTACTCATCACTTTAGCTGTCACTTAACTGAAAAAATCCTCCAATATTTATATTTCTAGTTTCAGCCTAAATCCAAATGCATAATTCCAAATTTCCATTAGCTGTTATATGGTGTGTGACATGTTGTTGTTTAGTTAAGTTGCTTCCAACCCATAGCAAATCTGTATAGGGTTTCCAAGGAGAGACTTGTGAGTTTGAATCGCCAACCTTGTGGTTCAGACTGACCTTGTGGTCGAGTACTTATCTTACAACATGACACCGGGACTCCTGGGTGACATAGTCTTCAATATGTGTATATTAAACTTGTTCTCCTTGCTTTCAATGTTTTTTCTTCTTTTGTACACCCTACCTTACTTGATGTCATGACCATTGTCCCGATTACCTAAACAGACTTCTTGATTTTGTCTGTGATGGCTACTTATTCCTTTAATATCTGTCAATGGTTTGTCAGTTAGTAAGTCCTAGTCCTTCCTGGCTAGTCTCAGAACCCTTGGCCGAGCCCTTAACTCATAGCATGACTATAACCCAAAGCCACGGCTATCAATTTGACTCCGACTCACGGCAACGCTGTTTAGAGTTTCTGAGGCTGTAAACCTTTAAGAGAGTAGAAAGCCTCATCTTTCTCCCACGGAGAGCTGGTGGGTTTGAACTGCTGGCCTAGCAGTTAGCATTCCAGTGCTTATCCTACAGCGCCAATAGGGTTCCTCACCTTGACTATTGTTGTTGCTAAGTGCTGTTGAGTTGGTTCTGACTCATAGTGACACTGTATAGAGTTTCCAAGCTGTGGCTGGTGGGTTTGAACTGCCGATCTTGTGATTCACAGTCCTGATATACAGTGCCACACCAGGAATTTACTGGTCTGCATACTTTTTCTTTGTCTCTGATTCATCCCTCATGCATACAGTGCACTAATTTTCTAATACAAATATTTGATAACTCAAGTTCACTGTTTAAAAACATTTTATTGTCTGACAAATATCCCATAAATATATCCACTCCCTAACCCCAAGTAAAATCAATTTAAAGACATAAAAAGGGGGAAATTCAAAAGGACAAAGAGAACACAAATGGAAACACTGACAAATGTACAGTCAAAAAGAATTTTGAACATACAACAAAGGAACTTACAACTTTGACATATTTCTCTATAGGAACCAAGAAGAGAAACCAACCTTTTCCTATAGAGCTCGTAACATCTCACAAATTGTAGGCACCTGGTCTGTGGAAGGCTGATGAGTCATGCGATTGTAAACAAGTGCTAATTGTTGAAAATCTTTAAAATTAGCAACTAGTGTCCCATGCCCTATTGCTCACTTTCTGATTTTCAGGAGACTAGTGGTTTTTTATCTGGAAAATTGAATTAAAGAGCCCTAGACTCAGAGATAAGATGTGGTGTGGCACTGTAGAATAACCACTGGACTGCTAACTGCAAGGTCGGAAGTTCAAACCCACCAGCTGCTTTTGTAAACCTTAGACAGGTTTGCTGAGTTGGAACCGACTAGATGGCACCTAACAACAACAGGCTCAGCCATAGGGGTTTGGTTGAAAACAGGACGTTAAGAGAAAGTTTGCATACCTACTTTTAAGGCCTATGTGTTCCACTCTGGATACAGTTCTTGAAACAGGATCTGGATTATTTATTTTTCACATCACAAGCTTCCTAGTAGTAATCTAGATACAGTAGTTTTTTTCATTTTGCACATCACAAAAATTGAGTAGGCTAACCAAACCTAACTTTTTAATTTGTTGTTTTTGTTAAGTGCCGTGGAATCACTTCTGACTCATAGTGACCCTGTGTAGGGTTTCCGAGGAGCAGCTGGTGGGTTCGAACTGCTGACCTAGTGGTTTGCAGTCCAGTGCTGATCCTATAGTGGCACACCAAGTGTCCCAGCTTTTCAACAAGCTTCTCAAAATCCTTGTACCCATTCAACCTTTTTAGAAAAGGTAAATCAAAGGACAGCCAATTTTGAAATGTTTAAAATTTTATTAAACAATTTTTGGGGCTAACTTAACTTCTTTACTCATAATAAAGAGATTACAGGCAGAAAAAACATGATTGGTCAAATATAAATGCTATATTGTCATTTTGTTTGTTTGCTTTTTAGAGGTATGAAGGGTTAAGAAAAGGACTTTTTTTGTTTGTTTGTTTCTTTTGTTTTACCCTCAAGTGGCAAGAAGAGGTAGGGAACAATGAAACTTCTCCCCTCTCACTCCCCCACCCCCGCTGAATTATTAAAGGTCTTTACATAGCTTAATAAGAAACATAATTTTATGAACAAACTAAATAGAAAAGAATACAAGGGCTTCCAAAAGTTTGTAGAATAATTCCATTATCTTTTGATTTTATGTTTTCTCAAACTTTTTGAAGCACCCTCATACATTTAGCCCTGAGCTGACTGCTTGCCACAAGGTCTGCAGTTCAAACCCACCAGCTGCTTCTCAGAAACCCTGTACAGAGTTGTTATGAGTTGGAACCAACTCTATGGCACTTAACAACAACAAATACATTAATTTTATTTAAAGGAAGAAACTTAAGTAAATCATACATTTTAAATTCTCAATATAGTTGAAATACATACATTTAAAATGAAATACATGCTCTCTTTTCAATGGCATATGTTACTTAAAAGAGACATATTAGATATAATTCATTTTGTGGTGCTGTGGGTTAATGCGCTGGATTGCAAAGTTGGTTTGAACCGCTGGTTTTGAACCAGCTGCTCCTTGGAAACCCTGTACTGGGTCGCTATGGGTCAGAACCGACTCGACGGCACTTAACAGCAGTAGTACCTGCTGTTCTCCCACAAATCAATAACCACTGAAACAAATATTCTGTGCAGTTCAGCAAAACACTCCTATGCCATCACCTATTTCACACCTGTAAGATTTCAAAATATTATATTACTTTTTAGCCTGTATTTTGTCCAACCACCTCTAAACTTGTGAGCCCTGCCTGTGGGCTTCTCAACCTCCAACTCCTCTTGGTAACATGAAAATTAGTGCTGTCTCTGTGTTCCCTTGACAATGGTTTGCTTCAAGTCTTCACTTCTACCAACTCTTTCCTAACCCAACTTCACATAAACTCCTCATGCCTTTTGACTCTAGGCTTTATCTAATTGCCTGTATACTTAGTTGTTTTTCCATGGGTATTTGTTAATTCATAATTCTACATAAAATGTAGTCAATACTATTTAATATTGAATTTTGTGATAAATTGATTAAAGCAAGTTTTTTAATTACTTAATTTTCATGGTGGTGATGGTTGTGTACCATCTAGTTGATTCTGAATCACAGTGACCCTGTATAGGATTTTTGAGGCTGTAAATCTTTACAGGAGAAGAAATCCTCATCTTTCTCCCTCAGAGCAGTTGGTAGATTCAAACTGCTGCCCTTCCTTTTATAAGCCCAACTCCTACTCACTACACTACCATAGTTAGATGAAATATATGTACATGGATATACAGTTTTTTTTATGTGAATAATAAAGCAATATTGTAAAGGTAGCATAATTTTTGTATTCTAGTATTGATTTTCATAGTAAATATTGACTTCTTTTTCTTCTGAACAGGTCATTATCCAACTTTTCGAGGTGATGGATCATCAGCATAGAGGGGAATTGGTTGCTGCAATACTCCGTAACCGGTATGTTTCTGGAAACCTAAAAAAAAAAAAAAATTATATGTCTCTTTTGCCTAATTATATACCTAAGATAGTAAATATTCAATAAATCTTTGTTCAGTATCTGACAGAAAATATAGTCAAGAAATATTCGTTGCATGAATGAATAAAAGAATGCATGAGTAACAAAGAAATGGAAGAAATAACATGTTAGCAATGGTGTGTCCTTGAGCTCATGAAAAATCAGAGAAAGTAATTGGAAATCATAATTGGAATACATTTGAGCGCCTGAATTTTAGTCAGTGGAAAATTTATTTGCATTTTTATTTTAAAATATAACAAAGAATAAATGCAGGTATCAATTGCTTAAGTGTAGATGTTCCAACAAGGTATGATTTTTAAAAGTAGGTTTGCCAGAAGGTTGCATGTGTGCATTTCAACTATTTAAAAATGCAGTTAAAACCTTGTTAGGGAGTCATTATGAGAAATTTATAGTTTCCTTTGATAATTTAAGATTTTAAATGATCATAATTAACATAGCTTTTGTTTTGAAGATATGAAATAGTATCCCTTATCCCATAGCCCATAGCTTGTTTGTACATTTTAGGCAAAGCATTTCAAATAGCGTGCTACAGTTGTCTGTATCTTGACTCTGGTAGTGGTGGTTATGTGCCGTGGAGTCAGTTCCAACTCATAACAACACAGTATACGGTTTCTGAGACTGTAAATCTTCATGGGAGCAGAAAGCCTCATCTGTCTCCTGTGGAGTAGCTGGTAGATTCGAACTGCTGACCTTGAGGTTAGCAGCTCAGCTTGTAATCCACTACACTACCAGAGCCCCTTTATTAGTGGTCTAGTCTTGGGAAATTTTGTTAACTGCTTTGCACCTCAGCTTGTTTATCTATGAAATGGGAATAAGAGTACCAAACATCAGAGTTGTTGGGTAGATTATCTAAATATGTATGTGTGTGTATGTAGTGCTTGGCAAATAGTGAATGGTATATAAGTGCTAATATTATATTGAAATGTAATTGTGGGATTTAAAATTTTTTAAAAAACATATTAATGTGTTTCTGAAGTACTTTAAAATTTAGGAGTATTTTAACAGAATACAAAAGGAAGAGGTAGGAAAGAAACATTTATAAAGTTATAGTTCATTGCCAGATACTATACTTGGGAGTTTACATAAGAATCTTATTTAGGCTTCATGTTTGTTGGAAATGTATGCTATCATGTGGGCAAACATTGGATACTGACCCTAGGAGCTGTGAGGTAGACTTTAACAAAGATAATAGAAAGTAGAACTGAATAAGACCATGGCAAAAAGATGTGTGACCATGTTAGGTGAAAACATAAAAGAGTAGATAGGGGCATGTTTAGAATTTACAAAGGTGAATTGACTATGTAAAGTCCAAGCATTGCTGGGTAAACCCAAAGCCCAAACCCACTGCCTTCAAAAGTTTATTTAGACTCACTGTGATCCTTTATCTATCTATCTATCTATCTATATATATATATATACAGATATAGATATAGGATCCTTTATATAAATATATATACATAAAAGTCCATTTCAGCTCATTACTGTCTAAGATATCCATGTTTATGCGTTCCATTTCATTTTTGACAACTTCCAATTTTCCCAGATTCATACTTCGTACATCCCATGTTCCAATTTTCAAAGGATGTTTACAGCTGTTTCTCTTCATTTTGAGTTGTGCCCCATCAGCAAATGAAGGTCCCGCGGGCTTTTCTCCCATGGGCTTTACTCCATTCGCATCATCATGGTCAACTCTACTTTGAGGAGGCAGCTCTTCCCCAGTCGCCCCTTCCAACCTGAGGGTCTCATTTTCCGGCACTATATCTGACAGAGTTTCTCTGCTATTCATAAGATTTTCAGTGACTAAATATTTGGAAGTAATTCGTCACTCCTTCTTCCTAGTCTGTCTTTGTCTGGAAGCTCATCTGAAACCTGTCCACCATAGGTGACCCTGCTGGTTTTAAAATACTGGTGACATAGCTTTCAGAATCACAGCAACTCACAAGCCACCACAGTACGACAAACTGACAGACAAGTAGAACAATTGATGCATTTGAGTTATGTTGTTGGAGGAGAATATTTAAAGTGCCATGGGCTTCCAAAAGAACCAACAGATCCGTGTTGGAAGAAGTGCAGCCAGAGTTCTCCTTGGAGGCCAAAATGGCCAAACTTCGTCTCTCATACTTCGGACATATTGTCAGGAGGGACCAGTCACTGGAGAAGGATATCATGTTTGGTAAGATGGAGGGTCAGAGAA